GACTAGGTGCGTTCTACATGGTCTCCCTGAAAACAAGACCAAGTTGCGACAACGAGGTGAACCCACTTCCATAAATCTATTTTGTTTGAAATTTGACTTTCGTGACTACTAGTAAATCCCTTATATGAGATTTATTCAGCCTATTTCGTTTGAGGGATGAAGGATTAGTGGCTGAATTCTCGAACATTCATATGAGTAGGACTTATCTTTCCATTGAATTTCACATTGCCTTGTTTTACAAAAGGTGTTCTCATCCAGGCAGGCGTGAATTGCAGTTTCGACCTCGTCAGCACCCCAGCGGCTACATTTAGGGAAGCAGGACTATGTGCAATTGAATGGGAATGTAAGGTCTACCTATACCGTTGTGGGAAAAATCAACTACTAATCCTTCATCACCTTAGGCGAAACAGAGAGAATACATCCCATATGTATAATCCGGTGGTAGTCTCAAAGACCTATTTATGAACGAAAAATATGTAATGTGCTCGATTACTAAAGCGTCGACAATCACACCCTAGAATGTGATTTGAATGTGATTGCTTGAAATTTATATCTGCCCTGTGACCCAATGGCGTTCGTGGCAGTCTGGCGTAGCAGTTGAAGTGTCGAGATTATACTCAGCCCTACCAAAACTGGGGTTCGAGTCCCGCTGGGCATGCTGAGCAGACCGGCTCAGGCGAGGTCGCAACTGCAGCCCACTCCAGCCGAGATGAGAATACCTTTTGGGCAGCAAGACTATGTGAAATCCATTGGAAACGTGAGGTCTACTCATCTGATTATGGAAAAAATTTAGATAAGCATCATTCACGATTCTAAAGGAAATAGAGTGGATACAGTTCTTGTATTAGACCTAGTGATAGTCTCGAATGCGTGGCAGAGTGATTGAGAGAAAGCAATGAATGACTGGCCACATACCGTGCGCACGTCAGTGACCGAATAGGCATGCCCGAGGATCAAACCCATCGGGCCTTCCGTCTCGACCTGCTGAGGAGTGGCGTCGATCGAGCATGCCATGAGGGAGCATCGTGAGTGAGCCCGCAGCATAATGTCGAACAGGCTGGGAGGAGACTTTTCGCCCAGCTCAATGAGTTCGGTCAGCCCGCCCGTGAAGTCCTCCATCGCCTCAGCAGTGGAACCACCACGCAGGGCCTCGTAAGAGCCGACAAGTCTGTGGGCGGTGATTCAGACAACATGAACAGAAGAGTGAATGAGTAGGGCTGAAAGCCGAATTGGAGAAAAGCAGTGAAGCAACTTTGGAGGAGGCGGGAGTAGAAGACTCAGGCCGCCAAAATAAGGAATCTAGCGAACAAAACCATAAAGAAAAGGATTAATTGCAGAAGTATTGGCCAGAAAATTTGTCATGAGTTAAACGCTGATGGAGACAATTGACCTGCAATTATTTGGATGCGGACAAAAATGTAACGAAAAGATAACTTCAACTGCATAAAATATGGGCTTCAATGTACCTTATAGTGACTAAGTGTGACATGACTTTTCATTTTGAAGGAAAGGTTGATTGTAAGTGATTTGTGAATTTGTCTTACCGGAAAGCGAGACTAGTAAAGTTTTTCGGAATGTGTGAAAAAGTCTACGAGTCACCGTCTTGGAATCCATCGGGGTAGCAGAACGGTCAGCCGAAGACTTCTTCGCACAGCTCAACACAATTCATTTCTCGAAGGTATGAACACCAAGATGGCGTGGCCTTTTGTGTGGTCGCAGTCTCTTCTCGTTGTATAGAGGTTATTTGACCTCCACGGTTCAACTTTGGAAATGCTCATGCATACAATGGACTCCGGACTAGGTGCGTTCCTCTAAGTCTTCCTACCAATGTGACCAAGTTACGAAAACAATGTCAAGCAGCCTCTGAACTTCATTTCTCTTCATTTTTTTCATTAGACCAATTTACGATTTGCTTTCAACCAAATGTTCCTTCGAAATGAACAATCATGACACAAGTAAACCAACCAAATCACTTTATGCCTCATAAAAACGCATATTTCTAGGGCTAATCTTGAATATGATTATAAGTGTGTTACTCTTTTGTGGTGATGTCCGCCATATGAAGGG